GAAGGATTGATGCTGAAGCTGAAGCTCCAATACTTTGCCCACCTGATGCAAAGAGCCGACTCATTAGAAAAGACTCTGATGCTGGGAAAGATTGAGGGCAGGAGGAGAAGGGAATGACAGAGGGTGAGAGGGTTGGATGGCATCACGGACTTGGCGGACATGAATGTGAGCAAGCTCTGGGAGATAGTGAAAGTAAGGGAAGTCTGGTGTGCCATAGTTCATGGGGTCACAGAGAGTCAGACACCACTTAGTGACTGAACAACAACGGAAATATTGTTCCTTCTACTTCACCCTCTCATTCCAGGATATGGGGATAATAATTCATTTTGTGTGTGTGCCTACACAAACAGGGACACTCACATAACTGGTTTGCTTAGATGTCTGAGGTGTCCTATCCCTTTGGGGAATGCTGGTTGCTTCCAGGGACCTCAGAGGGACTACATGAGGGTGGATTTACATAGGGGCCATTTACATGGTACAGGCTGTGTAAACAAGAAATGTTGCTCACTGTCTGGTTCTACAAGGTAAAATCATTAGCCACTGCAGCTGCCAACTCAGGACAGACAAGAGGGTGAGGCACTGTGTACGTGGAAAAAGAGGCAAAATTGCCTTTAGATAGTTTCAGATAAAATTTGTATGAACCTGAATTTTTGTATCTTGCCATACTTAGAACGGTACTAAAATTATTAACTAAGAAATCTGTTCCTCATGACCTTCTCCCATGATGCATATTGGACTGCATATTCCCTTAGCCGAAGTCATATGTAAGCTGACCTCCCTGGAGCAGTTCCTTGGAGCTCTGTGAGAAACTGTATCCTGGGCTATTGCCAGGAACCAACACATGAGACCCCACCCATGACAAGGTCATGAGGAGAAGACCTCAAGGGCAAGGCGGATCAGGTTTTCAGGGATTCCGAAAAGTTGCCCCCAGTGCTCACCTTAAAGATGATATCTGTCTTTCTGATGCTTGCTTCAATAGACTACTCCCTAATTTCTGTGACACAGGCAGAAGGCCTTCCCCAATCTCTTTCCAAATAAGAATCAGTTTAGAACTTTAATCAATAAGTTTCCCAGGTGGTGGTATTTTATGAGATTATCCAGGGTGAGAGGATTATTTTAATTTAAACTCCTTTGCTGGTATTTATTTTGTTTGGCAAATGCGTTTATGCCCTTGGTACTAATATGCATGATTGCTTATAATACCCTAATCATAAAACAGCATAAAGAACCTGATCACATAAAGGCCCTAATAGGCACAGAGTCCTTCGGGGGTGAGGAAGCCCTATTAGAGAACATAAAAATATTATTCTAAAAGTGGTTATAGTTAAAGATATAGAAAAATAAGAGTTTAAAATTGTTAATTTTAACCAGGAATGCTAAACAGGGGCTGCCTCACTGGAGCTGCAGTCTTTGTGTTGTAAACCTTTTAGATAAATTTAACCCATAACTTCTGCAAAAGGACTGACCTTTGTGTTCATTAAAGAATAGATTATGGAAAACAGCTTTGCACTCACCTAGGTCATAAAATGTCAATAGGCCCCAAGGCCAGAAGATAATGTACAAGACCCTCATAAACAAAGAAGTACGCAGAAAACACCCTGGTTTTGTGAAGAACAAGCTGATGTAATGTTAAACTATCTTCCCTTTAGAAAAGTACTAATTTAGGGTATAAAAGCCAAGGTAAAAAAATAAAGCATTGCCAGACTCTGCCAGACTCTACTACACCCCCATCTGGTCATTCTCTCTCTCTCTCTCTCTCTCCCTCGCAGACTTGGCCCTATCAAGGCTGGTCTCACGTGTCTTCTCTCTCTCTCACCGACGCCGTTCATCCTGAGGGTAGCCCCTGGATCCTGCCGAGGCTGGACCCCGGCAGGCTATAGTCCTCAGTAGGGTCTCCGAATCAAACTGAAACTCATTGCTCTTACGTCGTGTATTTTTTATTTCAGTTGACAACAGGAGCAAGGGGAACCATCAGGTGTAGTACTCTGGGAGCTAGCGTCAGCTGGGAGCTAACACCACCCCCAGCCCAGGGCGTAGCTGATCCTGAAACCCAGAGAGTTGAGCTGAAGCTGAAAGCAGCAGTGGCCATTGGAGAGGATGGATGTCAATCCTCTAATCTCCTGATTGCCTGCAGGGCCTTCCACTGACCAAATGTCATCTCCTTTCTCTACCCAGGGAGGCTGCCAGTAGGTGGCTAAAAACTCCTGCTATAACAGGGAAGAACTGACATGACTCGACATTGGATCTATTCCTTTGACTCTAACATTTGTGCTAGGTTGGTGTGCTTAGTCATGCTGGCTCTGCATCTTTGTCAAATATGTTGCCTAGAGCCTGAAATATATGGGCTTCCTAGGTGGTTCAGCGGTAAAGAATCCACCTGCCAATGCAGGAGATGTGTGTTTAATCGCTGGGTTGAGAAAATTCACTGGTGAAGGAAATGGCAACTCACTCCACTATTCTTGCCTGGGAAATCCCATGGACAGAGAAGCCTGGCAGGCTATGGTCCATGGGGTGGCAAAAGAATCGGACACAGCTTAGCGACTAAACAACAACAACAACAAATAGCCTGAAATATGCATGATAGCACTTTCTCAAGACTCTACCTCCCACCTTGACTTTTAAAGTCAAAACCCTTTGCATTCATATAGCAATGAAAAGTTGCAGAACAGAAAATAACACCACACTGGGGGCTTTAGGATCCTCCACCCGAATCTCCCAGCCAGTGTCGAGGAGAAGGAGGTTTGGGGTCTCCCCAGCATCCTACCAGTGTCAGGACACTACCCCCACTCTCCTGCTCAGAATTTCTGCCAGGAATTCCCATCCCTCAAGCTCTCTTACAGCTTAGAACATCCCCACAAGGCAGGGGGTGAGTAACAGGACAGGATTGAGTAACGGCCAGGAGGGAAGCACCAGATCCACTGGGTGGTTTACTCTGGATGTGGTAAGATGATCCACCTAATGATATAAGGACCTCCAGGTATCTCTCCATCGGAGTTACCATATTGCCTGAAATTCCACCTGTATAAATGTATTAATGGGGCATTGTCCCTTATGAGTGGGGGCGGAACAGCATGGCAGAGGGACAAGACTCAGGCTTGGTGGTTTGATACACCCGAGTGCCTTTCAGATGGGCAACTTAGGCTAGAGGCTTGTTCTCTTTGAACCTCACTTTGCTCTTCTCTTAAAATACGTATCTTCCTTCCTGCCATCATGTGGGTCCCTCTGCCTGATCCCAGGGTGCTGGCCCAGAGCCCTGAGGGGAAGGTGATGCATTGTCTTGCTGGCAGAACATCCTGCACACAGTGGGATTACTTTATGTAGAGCACCTGACTCACAGTAGGTGTGCTTTATGTAGGACACCTGACGCACACTGGGCATGTATACATGGAACACTCAGCATACAGAAGCAGTGCCTTACACAGAGCGCCCAACACACGGTATGTGTTCTTTGCGCAGAGTAGGCGTGCCTTATGTAGAGACCCTGGCATGTCATAGGCATGACATGTGACTTGTGGACAGTCCACAGCACATAGCAGGTGTGCTTTATGTACAACCCCTGGCATACAGTAGGCAGGATTTATGCAGAGTCCTTGGCACGCAGTAAATGCATTTTCTGTAGCCCACCTGGAACACAGCAACCATGCTTTATGCGGAGTTTCTGACACACTGCAGGCTGCTTCTTCAGGTACCAGCACATAGAAGGCGCTCTGCAAATGCAGCTTTGTCTGCACCGAGTAGGCTTGCTCTAGGTCACCACCAGTACACCTGACACAGGCACTAGTAGCCATCACTTTGCTTTCACTCCACCTTTTTTGAGGACTCCAGATTCTTCCCATTTTCCTGTGAGATCCTCTTTGGTTCCCCATCTCAAGGTCTCATTCAACATCCCACTGAGGAGGGTCCGCACAGCCCATAGTCAGAGCGAGGGCGGTGCAGACCGCCACTCCCAGTTCTGTCCCCCCACCGCCTTGTGTGGACCCCGTTCTCTCTCAGCCCACCCCAGCCTGGCCCCTCACGCCTCCAGGGGCCCTCTTCTGATTGGCTCCTTTGTCCCTGGACTCTGTTCAGTTCAGCCACTTAGTCGTGTCCCACTCTTTGTGGCCTCATGGACTGCAGCACACCAGGCTTCCCTGTCCATCACCAGCTCCCGGGCTCAGGTAAAGATAATTTCCAGTCAGACTGGTTTCTCTGCTCCTGTTTCGGGAAGTCATGTCTCAACACATGCCCTGGGCTGTGTGGAGGTGGGAATTGAACTCCTGCCAGGCCATGTGCCCTGGAGGCCAGGGGCTTCAGGGCTCTGAGCTTCCGGGGTCTCTGCCGAGAAATGGTGCATGATGTCTCCCTGGCCCACCTGTGGAAGGGAGCCCTGGAGATGCCTTGCGATGAGGCTGACCCTCCGTCTGTCCTGAGGATCCAGCATCTGTTATGCTGAACTGGTTCCCAGGCCTCACTTCATGTTTGGGCAGCATCCAGGTGGGGAGGAAGTAAGCATGCTGGGTGAATGGGCTGGCTTAGTCTGGAGCCTGGCAGTATTTTCTAGGGGAGGGACTGGGTAAAAGCTTCGCATAAGAAGGGGAGAGGAAGTTGTGTGAGACAGGCCACTCCAGAAAGAAGGTGCCAGGCTGCGGGTCAAGGGGCTCAGGGTCTTGACCTGGTGTGGGGAAGGCTGCTGCCCATGGCAGGGTGGCTCTAGGGAATGAGCTGGCTTGGGAGATGAGTGGATACCAGTGGGTAACACACACACACACACACAAGTGGCCTGTGTGTGCCTTTCTGTCTCTTTGTCTCTATCTTTCCCTCTTCCTCTGAATTTCTCTGGTTCTCCCTCTCCCAGCCCCTGTCTGCCTGTCTCTGAGCCCTTCTTGCCCGTCCCCAGCACTCCCCATCCCTGCCCCTCACTCTCTTGCTCCTCTCCCTCTATCCATCTCTGCCTCACAACTCACCGTCGCTGCCTCTTCCTTCATCCTCAGGACTCACCCTCCACCCCATCTGACCATAGGATGCTGGAGCTGAGCCTGTCCTGGCTGGGACTTGGGCCGGTGGCAGCCTCCCCATGGCTGCTGCCGTTGCTGGTCGGGGCCTCCTGGATCCTGGCCCGCATCCTGGCCTGGACCTACACCTTCTACAACAACTGTCGCCGCCTCCAATGTTTCCCGCAGCCCCCAAAACTGAACTGGTTCTTTGCTCACCTGTACCTGGTGAGTTTCCTGGGAGATCCTGGGAGATGAGGAATGGGGCTCAGGGTTTGGGCTGGGGTCTAGGACAGCAGAGAAGCCAGAGAGGCCTGGCAGCCCCCTCTTCCCTCATTCACTTGTTCCTCTGCTCTGCCTTTGAGACCTCCCCCACATCCTGTCCTTTCAGCCCTAGCCTGCTCTGGGGTCCATTTTCTACCTGCCTTGCACACATTAGTGCACCTCTGAGGCCAGGCTGCACATAGCCTGGTCCCCTGGCCTCTCCAGTCTTCATGGTGGCCTTGAGGTCCTCTCAAGTGTGCTGTCCAGGGTCCAATCTGCACGTGGTCCTTTTCCTTGTGACTTTTCACCCTGGGCTACAGCTTCCCCACAGGAATTATCTATCACTTCCCCATCCCCACACCTCCTCTTTCCAGGATCCCGCCTCTTATCTAACTCCCCTTTCTCTACCAAGATGTCCCAAGGTGCTCATAGCCCAACCTGGATAAAAGTGGCCAATCATCACCTCTGTCCTCCACGCCTGCCCACCTTGTGCCTCAGACCTTGACTCTGGCTTGGCCCTGCTCATGATTAATTAAACAGCTCAACTGTCGAATTCCTTAATAAGCACTTCCCAGTTTGACAATGGTTCTGGGGAGCAGACTACAGTCCATGGCTGGCTAATATTAGGATGCAAAATAAAGGTGTGATGACTTAAGTTATGAGCATGCCATCACTTCCCTCTGTCAGGGTCAAAGGAATGGGTATCCTGCTCCTCCCATCTAACAGCCCAGCTGAGAGAGGTGCCCATCTTTTCTTTCCTGTCTTGGACAAGAGCTACCACTTGGTGGAGGATTTACTGAAATTTTACTGCTTATTGTGGCAAAGTTCAGAAGGCAGGGGCATTAAAAATCTCCATGTGAAGATTTCCTCAGATTCTGTGTCTTGAAAGCATCTCAGCGAGTCTTCCCAGGTGGTGCTAGTGGTCAAGAATTCGCCTGCCAATGCAGCTTAGAAGGAAGAGAGGCGGGGTTGATCCCTGGGTTGGGAAGATGCCCTGGAGGAGGGAACAGCAACCCACTCCAGTATTCTTGCCTGGAGAATCCCATAGACAGAGGAGCCTGACAGGCTGCAGTCCATGGGGTCACCAAGTTGGACATGACTGAAGCGACTTAGCATGCAAGGCACAGTGAGTCTTGGAGGCAGCAGGAGTGTTACAAAGTTACTGCATTTCTGCCCTCCCCTCTAAGGGCTTAGTCATGGAGTCTGGTCTTGGCCACTTTTCCTTCCTGCAGTCCCTCTTGCTGTGTGACCTCGGCTGAGTCACTCTCCCTCTCTGGACCAATCTCAACAAGTGTTTTGAATCCTCACTTTGGTACTTGAGGAGAAGGGAGCAGGTCACAAAGGTGAACGTGACTTACGTTCACCTGCCGAGAGCCCCTGGGGGGTATTTGTCAGGTCTGAACGAGGCATCCTGAGGGAGAGGATACTTTACCAGGAGGCATCCCACCCTTCTCTCCCTTTAGGTGCATAAGGTGTCAGCTTCTTCATTTATAAATGGCATAACTGAAAGTCATGTCCATAGGTTGCAGAGAAACAGGCAGGACGTACTCTGCATGGAGCCAGTTGGGGGAGGGGGTTTCACGGGTCAGAGCTGCTGTCATGAGTGAGGGGCAGAATTCATGTCTGTCCTTTGGGATCAGCCAGGGATGGAAGGCCCCAGGTCTGCAAAAGATTTACTGCAAGGAACTGCAGGCTGTATACAGACTAGCCAGAATAGGAAAGGATATGGGACCAAAACCCAGGTACAAGTACTGAGGCCATCTTGCTACCTACAAACCTTCCAGTGGGAATCTCTTTTTGTGGCCACCTCTGGGGCTGAGACAATTCCCAGGACAGGAAAAAGTTTGGCTTCTCAAGATAAAGTCACCCTACCTCTGGGCAAAGAGCCTGTCTTCTCCTTGTGCTCTGGGGTATCTCCTTGGGACTTGGAGATGCTCCAGGACCTCTCCTCCCCATGAAGGAAGGAGCAGGAGGAAGCAGAGATTCCCTCCATCTCTGCAGGATCCGACATACTCTCCAATGCAGTGTTTTTTTCTTGGGAGTGATCTCTTTACATGCTTTCAGGTCCCCCCGACAGATCAGGGCTTGAGAAAATCAACCCAGCTGGCAGCTAACTACCCCCGTGGATATAAGATCTGGTTTGGCCCCATCACTCCCGTGATCGTTTTCTGCCACCCTGACATGCTCCAGAGCATCACCAATGCCTCAGGTACCCATGCAGAGCTTGTGGTGGTGGGTGTCATGACACATTTGAGGGATTCTAGCCCCTCCTTGCCAACTTTTTATGTGGCTCCTACAGGACCCTGGCCCGCCTTCCCCTCTTCTCTCTCAGCCACTTCCTCTTTGCTTCATGCATTTATCATGTTCCATCTCACCGACTCGTTTCTGCCCATGGCCATTTGGACCCCAACCTTGTACCTTGCTGAAGTTCGTCCCCAATCTCAAGGTCTCATATCTGGACAGAGACATCCTTGGCCTGGTATGGTTGGTCAGGGACTGGCCAGCAGGAGATGGGCTGTGGCAATCCAGAGAAGAAACAAGATTCTCTGCTGGGGTGTGCTGGAAGGCTTCCTGGAGGAGGAGGTGTCGGAACTAGGTCTGAAACAATGAGAAAGAAATATTTCAAAGCAGAGGGTAGAGTGATGCAGTGGCCATCCATAGTATCCCAGGCCCCCTGCTAAGCCGGCCCTCAGTCTCACTCATCTGCAGACCCAGAGTAATGAAGGCTTCTATCTGGTGCAGGATTGGGGGCTGCTTTTCCTGTGACATCCACCTCTTTGATGGGTCCATTTCACTTATCCTATCCTGTGGCTCAGCCACTCTAGTTCAGTGCTCTCCTCCAGTCCCCAGGAATCTCCCTGAGGAGACTCCACCCCACCCTGTCTCCCTTCCCTTGCCCTCTGCCCCTCCCATCTGAGACAGACCAGGGGAATGGACAGCTTCTGACAGAGACCTGGGTTCAGACACCAGAATGCTGAGTGACTCTGGGAAAGGTCCTGGCTCTCTCTGGCTGCTGAAGTCTCTTTCAGCTGTTAGTGGTGGAAATGCTACCCTGTATGGTCTAAACAAAGAAGGGAAATCAACTGACTGTAAACTCCAAGGAGGGCTGCCTTCAGGCTCAGCTGGATCCAGGTCTTAAACAATGTTATCAGAAATCTGTTTTCATCATTTAGAGTTCATCTGTGATGGCTTTACTCTCATCCTGGTAAAACTGAATCTCAGACACTCAACCTCCATCGGAAAGGGAGTTCATTTACAACAGTTCTAGGAAAAGTTGAGGATTCCTTTTAATTTGTCTGATTTGGGCCACAGGACCAATTATTGCAAACCTAAGATTCTGAGCATCCAATCTTGGCACTGTTGGGGCCACTGAACTATTGTTTTGGGGCTCAGAGCAGTTGGATAATTAAGAATTCAGGCCGTGGATTAAAGAGTCTTGGGCTGGTGTCTCTGGTTTACTCTCTGGGAGAATGTGCGCAAGGGACTCCAGCATTGAGAGTCTCAGTTTCCTTATCTGTAATATGGGGACGAAAGAGAAGCCAGGTGAATATGGTGTTTGGGATCCACGCAGGGAAAGACATTCTCTATCCCTGTACCAGAAGGACCACAAAGGTTGTGTATGGCCAATGTGGGGAGGGAGCCCATGAGAAAGCTCAGGACAGATGAACAACTACCGGAGGTGACTCATGGGCTCAGATGTGAATCTCTCCCATGCAAATCCTTGCCTCTGGCAGCCTAGAAGAGTGTGAATTGGGTCCTTTCTGTTCCTCTCCAGATTCAGAGCTGGGAGGAAGGTCTCCAGTACACACAGGACCTGGCCAGCACCTATGGGGATGTGTGCTGCTCTTGGGGTGGGGGTAGGGGGGCTGGCATGCTGTCATCTGCATCTTCCACTTCACCACTCCAGGTAGACATGCTCTTGGCCATGGCTTGCTGCTGCCACGTCCTCCGTGTTGGGTGCAGACATAGGAGGCTGTGGTAGAGATGCCTCTGCCTCTTTCTTACCTGGACTCTCACTTGCCTACTTCTGGTCATGTCTACTCACACCTAGGGCACATCTGTGTGCTGTCTTCTGTAGGCTATATCTGGTCAGATTTATGTTTCTACCTGGTTTCTGATGACAGCTGGTACATGCTTTACCTGGTGACACCTGGTATATGATTAAACCTGGGCTCAAATAGACATGGTCTCAGTCACGTCTGGAGTTGCTTCAACTGTGGCCATGGACATCTGAGGCATTTTGGGGTGTGTCTTTTTCTTGCCTGAGATGCTGTTATTGATTATCTGGTTCTCCTGCTTGTCATGCCTAGGTCATATTTCAGGTTTGTTTGAGGTCTGGGACTCAGGGTCACTTTCAGACATGCTAGTGACCTTATGTGATCTTGTGTGGTGCCTGTCTTAGGGTATGTCTGAGTCATGTCTGGGGCCCAGCTGGGGACACACCTGGTTCAGGTCTGTGACATCAGTGTATGTAAGCCCTGTGTGGGACTCATGCGGGGCAAATTCAGCCCAAGTTAGATTGTCTTCAGGTCCATGCCAGAGCATGTTGTATCATGTTAGGCTGTGTCATGCGTGTTGTGGCCATGTCAGGACATGTTAACACATGGGGCCATGTCACATATCTCAGGAGAGGTCAGAGTGCTTGGGCAGATATGGTGTTCTAGGTCCCCATGAAGATGTTTTGTAGAGTGCTGGACTATGCCTGTGTCTTCATAACATGTTGGACCATGTAGGAGCCATGTCAGGGAATGTTGGGGCATGTTGTATCTTGTTGGAGTGTTTCTGAGCACCTAAGAGTTGTGTCTATGGGCCCTGTCTTTGCTGTCTTCTGTTCTGCAGCCTGGTCTGGTCCCCCCACTACAATCACCTCTGCACCTGGCTTCTGGCTTTCGATTCTCTTGGCCCCATTCCTGCTATGCAGGGCTCAGAGTGGGAATGCAGATTCCTGGCTGGGATCCTCTATTCCACACAAAATTTCCTCCTTTCCCCATCTCCCTGGCCCCTGATGGTCCTTCTTCATGTCAGCTGCTATCGCACGCAAGGACATGGAGTTCTACAACGTTCTGAAGCCCTGGCTGGGTGAGTAACTGTGAGTGAAGGGGGTGATCTTGGGGACCCAGGGAAAGGTCTTCCTTTGCCCACTCCCTGTGGCTGCCTCTACTAGGGGATGGGCTCCTGCTGAGTGCTGGTGACAAGTGGAGCAGGCACCGTCGCATGCTGACACCCGCCTTCCACTTCAACATCCTGAAGCCCTATATGAAGATTTTCACCAAGAGCACAGACATCATGCACGTGAGTCTCTTGAACCCAGGGTCCCATCTGGAGTCTTGGGGATAATGGAGACTCAGAGACACCTTGCCTGGAACCTGGCTCTTGTGGGTGGCTTTAAGGCCATGGGCTCTTCCTTTCTGAAGTGTGGTTTCCACAGGTGAAAAATAAGGATTATGTGATCCCTGCCTTGTAGGGTGGCCAAGATGACCTAATGGAATCATGTCTCTGGCACATAAGAGATGCTCAGAAGGTGTTAGTTTCTACATTTCCCTCAAAGAGGCCTTGGAATCTTGAGACGTTTGGTAAAAATGGTGAATATTTTGTAGTAGCTATTCTAGAGTAACAAGTCACTTAAAAACAGTAAGTGCTTAGTATTGAGAAGTCTGTGAGTCAGTTGACTGGTTCTTCTTGATGTATCTGTGATCAGATAGGAAATTTTGCTGATCTAGGGTCATTCTTCTCACATATTTGGGGCTTGGCTGGCTGCAGGCTGATCTCAGATGGCCTTACTCTGGGCAAAGGACTTCCCTTCATGGGATTCTCTTCCTTTAGACTGCATTTCGTGTTTGTTCACATAGCAGAAGCAGGGTTCCAACAGCCTGACAGGAAGCTGCAATGCTGCTTGGGAGCTTGGTTTGGGACGATCTACTCATCACTTCCATCAAAGTCTATTGGGCAAAGCAGGGCTTCCCCTGGTGACTCAGTGGTAAATAATCTGCCAGCAATGCAGGAGACAAGGGTTTGATCCCTGGGTTGGGAACATCCCCTGGAGGAGGGCATGGCAACCCATTTCAGTATTCTTACTGGGAGAATCCCATGGACAGAGGAGCCTGGTGGGCTGTGGTCCATGAGTTCTCAAAGAGCTGGACAGGACTGAACCAACTAAGCATAGCACACATTGGCCAAAGTAGATCCAAGGCCAGCTCAGAATCCAAGTAGGCTCCACCTACTAATAGAAGTTACTGAAAAAGCACATTGCAAAGGGGTTTGGATATATATATATATATATATATATATATATATATATATACATGGGGAAGGTCAGGAATTTGTGACGTGGTTGTGTCTTTTCCATACTTGCAAGTGGACAAGGGAGTTTGTTACAGTTCTGTGGATTCTGTCAGAAGACATGAGAGTCCTGGATCACCAACAAAGGGTAGTTTTTACTCTTGGCACAGCAAATGGCACCTTCTACTTGCTGGCTTGCATTCTTCCTCCAAGTCAACAAATCCCGCATGGATGACACAGGTGGACTTTGACTGGCACCTACTCCAGTAGTATGTTTTATTATAGGGCAGAAGAATACTAGATTTAGGGTGTCTGTGACTTTCAGAACTAGAAGCAAGCCTGATATTTGCCCAGGAGGAGACTTTACCTCACTCTTAAAGCTTGTTTGCTGCAAACACAACTCAGAAATAGCCTCTGGTAAAGAACATCATGGACTACCAATTGTTTTTGGCATACCCGGAAAGATTAGCATACCTGGAGAAGGCAATGGAAACCCACTCCAGTACTCTTGCCTGGAAAATCCCATGGGCAGAGGAGCCTGGTGGGCTGCAGTCCATGGGGTCGTGAAGAGTCAGACATGACTGAGTGGCTTCACTTTCACTTTTCACTTTCATGCGTTGGAGAAGGAAATGGCAGCCAGTGTCCTTGCCTGGAGAATTCCAGGGACAGCAGAGCCTAGTGGGCTGCCATCTGTGGGGTCGCACAGAGTCAGACACGACTGAAGCGACTTAGCAGTAGCAGCAGCAGCACTCAGGGCCCATGGAGAACTACCTCTCTAAACACAGGGACAGTTTATTCATCAGTTTTCATCAGTGAAGGTGATGAAAGCTAACATTTGCTTAGCACTTAACTTTATTCAGTAAGTTGAGCAAGGGTACAGAGGGAGCAGGAGGGTGAGCCAAGATTTAAAACCAGGTCTCCTGACTCCCAGTCATGAGAACTTCATGTCCTAGCAGTAACAGCTTCTACTCCCACTCAAGCCTGATACTATCTGGAGATGGTTTCCTGGGGCCAAGAGGCAGGGCCTGGGGAAGTCCACCCAGGTGGTTGGGAATGGGCCCTAACTCTGTCTCCTTCTCTGTCCAGACCAAGTGGGAGTGCCTGGTCACAGAAGGCCACACCCATCTGGACATATTTGGACACATCAGCCTCATGACCCTGGACAGTCTGCAGAAATGTGTCTTCAGTTTTGACAGCAATTGCCAGGAGTGAGTCTCGGCCAAGAGCCTGGGAACATAAGCCATAGACCCAAGGTAGTAGATGGAGGAGGGAGGGCTGACCAGAGCAACCAGGAAGGCCTTCCTGAAGGAGGTGGCTCAAAGCAGGACAACCCAGGACTGGAATAGGGAAAGAGAAGGAGCTATCCTTTCAGGTAGGTAGAACTGTTTGATAAAGATCAGAAGGCTAGAATGAGAAAAGTATGTGCAATAGTGATAAGATACATTGGAAATAAGGTTGAAGGAGTGGGCAGGTAATATTTTAAGGACATTCTGAAGCCAGACAAAGTGAGTCTGACTCAAAAGAATCCAACTATCATGTAGACATTGGATATAAGAAGACTAGGGAAGGGGCTGGGCCACTGACCAGCTGCGAGAGGATAAAGTATGAGCAGGGTGAATGGTTCTGGAAAGGAGAAGGGGGCGGTGAGAGAGACAGGAGAGAAACATATCTAAGCTGTGCTCCAGGTGCCTGGGGCATGGAGGCAGCTCACGGAGATGGGATGTGGGTTGAGAAAAGTCTGAAAAGTCACATCCCACATTGTATCTGTGAGCCATCTGTTCTTGGAGCCTCAATTCCTGAAGGGAGGTAGCCCCTGGCTTCTGGGCTTCCGGTGTTTTAACTTGTTTCCTCCCTTCATGCTCTCATCCTTCAGGAAGCCCAGTGAATATATCGCCGCCATCTTGGAGCTCAGTGCGCTTGTGGCAAAGCGGAACCAGCAGATCTTACTGCCCATGAACTTCCTGTACTACCTCACCCCGGATGGGCGGCGCTTCCGCAGGGCCTGCCGCCTGGTGCACGACTTCACAGATGCCGTCATCCAGGAGCGGCGCCGCACCCTCCCCAGTGAGGGTATTGATGACTTCCTCAAGGCCAAGGCGAAGACCAAGACTTTGGACTTCATCGATGTGCTTCTGTTGACCCAGGTGGGTTCCTCTGGAATCTGAGTTCAAGAGGTAGGATGGACTTTGATCTGATCAAAGAATTTGAACAGGATGTAGAGGTCCTGGGGAGCCATGGAAGGTGCTTGTGGCAGGGAGGGATGGATCAGGGATAAGTTTTAGAGATGACCATGTGGAATATTGCCTGTGGGGGATTGCTAAGTCTGCAACTGTGAAGGGCCTGAGATTTCACTCAAATAGGAAACTAATAAGTCAGTCTACCACAGAGATAGGCTGGGTACATATGTAGTATATGTAAAGTATACATACAGAATCCTGGTTCAGAGCAGCCTGTTTATTACTCATGGCAAAAACGGTAACCAGAGTAGAATTGTAGCTCTGCTACCCTATTCCTAAATTCCTTTGATGGCTCAACTATGCTATTACCTGTACATGCAATCATACTTGCATCACAGTACAAGTATATACCTCCAGATTTTGAAATTTGGAAGTTATACAAGACAGCTGATACATTTGCCCCTTTCTCCCTATGGGGAGATGGAGAGAGAGAGACACAAGAGAGAGATTATGCTGGAGCTTAAACAAATTCTTTTTGGTGAGAAGGCAAAGTCTAAAGTTGTTATATTTTTATAACCTAGGTTGTAACCCAGGTTGCCAAGGTTGCAACTTTTTTTTCCCCAGAAATCCCTCATAATTTTGAAATATAAAAATATTTATGGGTGACTGATTATTTTCTCAACAGGGACAACATAGGAGACAAAGAGGTCAAGGAGGAGGTCTCTGGGGTGGGGCCTCTGGTGACAGAGTGCACAGGAGGTTTAAAATTTCAGGGTGGGTTTGGGTCTCTGGATGGATAATGGGGCTTCAGAGATTGTCTCAGTTTAGCCTCAGAGACCCTCTGAGCTAGTGTGATTCTAGGGATCTTGCTTTCTCTTCAGGATGAAGATGGGAAGGGATTGTCAGACAAAGACATCCGGGCTGAAGCTGACACCTTCATGTTTGAGGGTGAGAACCCAGTGTGAGAAAATGTAAGGATAGGGTGTATCTAAGCCCAGGAACTAGCCCAGTGGACCCTGGACCACCCCATCCCCCTCCATCCTCCTCATGGGTTTTAGCATGAAGGGGTTGTCTACCTTGTGGTGCTGAAGTAGTCCAGAGACACAAATCTTTCTGGATGCCCCCAGGCTATGATACTACAGCCAGTGGCCTCTCCTGGGTCCTGTACAACCTTGCAAAGCACCCAGAATATCAGGAGCGCTGCCGGCAGGAGGTGCAAGAGCTCCTGAGGGACCGCAAGCCTAAAGAGATTGAATGGTGAGTGCAAGTCCTTATGGCCTTTTTCTGAGCCCTTCTCATTGTTTCTGCTCCCTGGCTGGGGAAGACAGAATTTTGTGTGTGTGTGTGTGCATTCTGTCATTTAGTGGAAGTAGGAGCAGAGCCCAGAGGCAGGATCTCATACTCAGCGTGTGTGTGTGTGTGTGTGTGTGTGTGTGTGTGTGTGCACTAAGTTGCTTCAGTTGTGTTGACTCTGTGCAACCGTATGTACTATAGCCCCGTCAGGCTCCTCTGTCCATAGGATTCTCCAGGCAAGAATAAATGCTGGAATGGATTGCCATGCCTTCCTTCAGGGGATCGTCCCAACCCAGGGATTGAATCTGTGTCTCATGTCTCCTGTGCTGGCAGTAAGGTTCTTTACTGCTAGTGCCACCTGGGAAGCCTACTCAGCATGGATAGGAGGACAAAATTTGCTGGCTTTTGGCAGAGAAATCTGGATTTCTGAGATAATTAAAAACAATGTGTGAGGACAGATGATGCCACTTGGCACATATTCAGTTAAGTGAACTTCGCCTCCACTCCCTGACTGTTTTCTCTGAAATTACATGTTTTCAAACATCTTCACTTCCTGAGTATTTGCTAATCTCCTGCCCCTTAATTCCTCATATTGTTTAGTCTAGGGTTCACTAGGATCACCTGAGTATTACAGTCATTCAACTCCTTTCTTGGAACATCTGCAGCTTCATCCATCTAATCCCTACTTAGGAAACACTGCCATACTGCCTCTCCATCCCCAATTCTATGCCATCTCCAATTCTTCCCAGCCCCATTCTGTATCCTGGAGACTCAGGAAGGACCAGACCCAGTCTTTGCTTTTTAGGAGCTCCTAACCTGGTGCAGAAATAGTCCCAGGTCAGGACACTCCCAGTGTACATGGGCAGGGCTGAGATTTGGAACAAGAGGGGTCAAGTTGAGGGTGGAAAGAGGTGCCTCAGCAGAGACTATGAGATATAATCAGTAGGTAATTGGGTGCATTTGAGGTACATTTAGGTCAAGAAGACAGCTGGAAGAAAATGAAGAACTTGGGGGAAGTGATGAGAAAGAGGGAGAGAGAGAGAGAGGAAGGAGGGAGGGAAGAATTTGACTTGAATATATAATTGACCTGTGGAAAGCAGATTACCTCATAATATTAATACACAGTATCCCAGAGTGTGAAGTGGATATCTGTTTTTGGATATTCAGGGAATCCTTAGGCTTTTAATCGAGTCTAAAATTTTAGCAAAGAGATTGTATTCAGACGTTGCTAACTTAACGTTAGATACTCTTGTTGCTATGGTAAACCATATATTCTATCTGGATTGAGAAATAGAAGTTTAATTGGAAAATATGCATTCACATTTCTTGGTAAGTTTAATTCATGTGTTTTATATAATTACCATCATTTTTTCTTTTATTATTTTTCTAACAAATTGTTATTTCTGATAGAAAAACTGATAATTTATGAATATAAATATCTTGCCCGGTGAACATAGGAAATGCTAAATATTGAGTCTCATATTCATAAGAAAAATAAAGATTGTTTCCTAAAATCTCTGGAACAACTGGGAAACTATGTGTAAAAAAGTTAATTCATCCTGCTTCTCATGTCTTATAAGAAAGTAACATCCACATGAATCAAAGATTTAAAAAATGATGGAGTCTTAAAGGCTCTAGAAGAAACCATGGGAGGTTATAGCTCCAGAGTAGGGAAGACTCTATTTTTGAGACAAATCCTAAGAGACATATAAGAAAATATTGATATACTATTTCATGAAATATATAAATAGCAGTGTGTATGGTATTCAGTATGCTAGTATATAATTTTTTAATGCAAAAAATACCTCTGGAAGGATACATAAAAAATAATCAGTAGACAAACTTGAGAAAGGAAGATGAGTGCTATTGGTCCATAGGGTTGGTGTTTTGCAGGTTTCCAATTTTGAGCTAGTTAACTGTATTTCAGTTCAGTTCAGTTCAGTCACTCAGTCATATCTGACTCTTTGTGTCCCCATGGACTGCAGCACGCCAGGCTTCCCTGTCCATCACCAACTCCCGGAGTTTACTCAAACTCATGTCCATTGAGTCAGTGATGCCATTCAACCATCTCATCCTCTGTCATCCCCTTCTCCTGCCTTCAATCTTTCCTAGCATCAGGGTCTTTTCCAATGAGTCAACTCTTCGCATGAGGTGGCCAAAGTATTGGAGTTTCAGCTTCAGCATCAGTCCTTCCAATGAACACCCAGGACTGATCTCCTTTAGGATAGACTGGTTGGCTCTCCTTGCAGTCCAAGGGACTCTCAAGGGTCTTCTCCAACAGCACAGTTCAAAAGCATCAATTCTTCGAAAGCTCAGCTTTCTTTATGGTCCAACTCTCACATCCATACATGACTACTGGAAAAAACATAGCTTTGACTAGATGGACCTTTGTTGGCAAAGTAATGTCTCTGCTTTTTAATATGCTGTCTAGGTTGGTCATAGTTTTTCTTCCAAGGAGCAAGCATCTTTTAATTTCATGGCTGCAGTCACCATCTGCAGTGATTTTGGACCAAAGAAAATAAAGTCTGTCACTGGTTACCCCATCTATTTGCCATGAAGTGGTGGGACCAGATACCTTAGTTTTCCGAATATTGAGTTTTAAGCCAAATTTTTCACTTTCCTCTTTCACTTTCATCAAGAGCCTCTTTAGTTCTTCTTTGCCTTGGCTTCCCTGGTGGCTCAGAGGGTAACTGTATTTAATTATTTTTAATTGGAGGATAATTGCTTTACAATGTTGTGTTGGTTTCTGCCATACAACACGAACCAGTCATAAGTACACACACACACACACACACACACACACACACACACACACACACACATGCACACACCCTCCCTCTTGAGCCTGCCTCCTATCAGCTCTTTATCCCACCACTCTAGGTCATCACAGAGTGCTAGACTGAGCTCCTCATGTTATATAGCAGCTTCCCTCTAGCTATCTATTTTACACACGGTAGTGTATATTTGTCAGTGCTACTTTCTAAATTCTACTGGATCTTATCTTCAATGCTTATAAAAACTTTTCCAGTGAATTCTCTTTCACTGTCTGCCAAAATCATGCATTTATTCCCACATTTCAAATGGCATTACTCTCCTTTTTTTCTCCTGTTTAATTGCATTAGCTAGTATCTCTAGTTCTGTAATAAATAAGATAAATATTGAATCTGTTTCTTGCTCATTTACCGTTTGAGTTTGCAATCTTGCCATAAAGAATGTTCCACATTCATACAAATTTGTAAACATTTCTATGGTTCACTTTTTGTTGATTTGTTCAGGAAAGCTTCTATAAATATCTGACTAAATTTTGTCTAGGACTTCTGTGATGTTGCTTTTCTTTCTCTCTTTTTAAAAACCATTTTATTGAGGTATGATGATCAAAGGAAAAGCTGTATATATTTATGTATATGACTTAATGAGTCTGGAGATATTTGATCCATGTGTGTTTTTGTTCTAGGCAGAGAGCATCTTATAGGGCACCAGGAGGGCTCGGGTGGTGTCTCTTTTTTCACCCTAGATAATTGTCATGGGGGTTCCTTAGGGACGACCTGACTCAGTTGCCCTTCCTGACCATGTGCATCAAGGAGAGTCTGCGGTTGCACCCCGTTATCGCCTATATCTCCCGCCGCTGTACCCAGGACATCATGCTCCCAGATGGCCGGGTCATCCCCAAAGGTGACCACAATGACTAGGGAAGGGGTTTCCTGGTAGGAAGAGGGGCCCATCAGGCAGGTTGGACCTAGTTTTGACTGGTCTCTCTTCTTCCACAGGTGTGATCTGCCTCATCAGTATTTTTGCGACCCACCACAACCCATCTGTGTGGCCAGATCCTGAGGTGATGCCTCCCCGACACCCTACCTCCATCATCCCTGTCCATTCCCCTTGGGAGACCCAGGGGAAACTACAGAATTGTGATTGGCAAATCAGACATCACTCCCTCCCCAAGGATGGACATCCTGGGAGATACCACCCAGTAACCCTGTCTTGTCTTGCCCCCAGGTCTATGATCCCTTCCGCTTTGACCCAGAAAACATCAAAGGGAGGTCACCTCTGGCTTTTATTCCCTTCTCAGCAGGTCCCAGGTGAGGGCATTGGACATTTGAGGTTAAGGATGAAGTAGTGGGGCGGGGGTCTGGGGCTAAGATTCCAGGCATCACTGTGAGGGCAGGGAAGGGGCAAAACTGAAGGTGGTCAGAGTTCTGGCATCCTTCTCTCCCCTCCCCCTGGGAATGGTAGTGGGCGCCAAGCAGGGTCTGCAGTATGCTGACAGCGGGGTTCCCTTGTCTGCTGGTCTGCATTCTAGACTGAGGTCTGGGCTAGGCTCAGGGGATATGCAAGTCCACGAGGCGGGGTCCCAGGTATGGTTAGCTTTCTCTGTTTCTGCCGGTCAGATTTCGGGTGCTGTGGGGCTGAGATGAGGGTTCCGTGTAGTCAGAGCCCCAACTCCTTCCACAGGAACTGCATTGGGCAGACGTTTGCCATGACTGAGATGAAGGTGGTCCTCGCTCTCACCCTGCTACGCTTCCGTTTTCTGCCTGACAAGGAGCCACGCAGGAAGCCGGAGCTGATTATGCGCCCGGAGGGTGGACTTTGGCTGCAGGTGGAGCCGCTGAGCACAGGCGCTCAGTGACTCGGTGACCCACTACCACCCTGCCTAGGACTCTCTATCGTCAAAAGGGCCCAGAGCGCCCCCTGCTGGCTCTCAGTGAGACTCAGACAAACAAGACGGCAGCATTTTATTCCTGGGAGTCTGCAATGGCCTCATCCCAGTTCCGTTCACGTTTGCCTGAGTCTCACCGAGAGCCAACAGGGGGCGCTCTGGGCGCTCTTGAGAATACAGAGGGTGGGCGTGGTTGATTGGAGGCGGGACCAGTTGCCATGTGTCCAATATTACCTCTCTAAGCTGACCCCCAGTCTGGCGCTGTGGTAGAGAATCTACCTACCAATGCTGGAGATGCAAGAGATGCGGGTTGGATCCCTGGTTCGGGAGTATCCCCTGGAGAAGGAAATAGCAACCCACTCCAGTATTCTTGACTGGAAAATTCCATGGACAGAGGAGCCTGGTGGGTTACAGGTCATGGGGTCGTACTGAACACACTTGGATATATGCACGGCTGACTCCAGGACCCTATACTGATGGCTGGTTCTCCCAGAACCCAAACATGGGCAATAGGGAGCCACATGAGGTGTTTGAGCAGAAGAGGGACCAGGGTTAAGGGTGAACTTAAGAGGTGGCGAGTGCTCTTCAATATATGTTGAAGTCTGGGAGGAGTCCAATATATATGAGTACATCAAATATGTGGTTACTCCAGATCTGAAATGAACATGGAAGAAATAAAACAAAGACATGCATACTAAAACTCTAGGCTCCCCAGGTGATAATGATAGTGATAGTGAAGTCGCTCAGTCGTGTCCAACTCTTTGTGACCCCGTGGACTGTAGCCCACCAGGCCCCTCCATCCATGGGATTCTCCAGGCAAGAATACTGGAGTGGGTTGCCATTTCGTTCTCCAGGGGATCTTCCCGACTCCGGGATCGAGCTCGGGTCTCCCGCATTGCAGGCAGACGCTTTAACATCTGAGCCACCAGGGAAGCCCATAGGCTTCCCACGTAGTCTCTCTCAATTAAGTAACTGGGAAGCGTCTCTCTAAATTAAGTAACTGGGAAGTGGTTTTCAGACTCCCTGTCAGCACCCCTACTCATGTACCAACCCGCCCCCCACCCCCACTCCCCGCATCCTTCATGTTCAGAGCAGTCAGCATCATGCATCAGAGTAGTGCATTTGTAACAAATGATTAACTTAGATTAACACATTATCACCCAAAGTCCATAGTTTACATCAGAGTTCACTTTTGGTGTTGTCCATTCTGTGGATTTTGGCAAACAGATAATGGCCTGTATCCATTATTATAGTACCACACAGAATATTTCACTGCCCTCAAACCCTCCCAGTGGTCTGCGGATTTCATCTATACCTCCCTTCAACTCCTGGTAACCAGTGATCTTTTTACTGTCTCCATAGTTTTGCCTTTTCCAGTATGTCAAATAGTTGAAATGACATGATATGTAAGCTTTTCAGGTTAGCTTCTAGCATTTAGCAATATGTATTTAAATTTCTTCCCTGTGTTTGCATGGCTTGATAGCTCATTTCTTTTCAGTGCTGAATAATATTCCATTGTCTGAATGTACCATGGGCTATCTATCTATTCATCTTCTCTGATTTCTTTTTAATCAGGTTTGTATATTACTAAACACAAATACATATTTAAATGAAACAATGAAAAATACAAAAAAATGAGAAAAAGGAAACCAAATAAAAACAAACCCTAAGAACACCCAGAAAGAACAAAAACTTATGTGTAACTAACAGAGTATAATAGTAGAAAGTCTAACATTGCCACCATTCTTTGGGACAGAGAGAGGGATATCGATTCATCCAATAAATGCTTGGTCAATAGGAAAACTAGCCCTGCTTTCAATGATCATCTTTATTTGGAAGTCTGATGGCTGTCTCAGACTTGTTATGTCCAAACTAGATTCTTGATTTTTCACCCCCAGACCTCTGGGGAATCCTGTAATGATTCCAAAAGTGGTTTTGTTGACTTTGTCTGTAGACATGTGCATTTTAAAGCTTTTTTTGTGTGATTTAATTTTAGTGCAGTTCAGTGAAACACATAGACAATAGATGGCTTTGGGATTCATTAAATGGTTTGGGGGCTAAATACATGGTTAATTTCTTGTAAATATTCCATGTGTGCTGGAGAGTGAGTTGCTTTTCTCTTGGGTATACATTTCTCTCTCTACTTAGTAGCCCAAACTTTTAAGTTGTGTTTAGATAATACATTCTTTAGTCTAAGTCTTGTCTTCTTGATTTGTCGAATTTTAAGAGGATTGGGATAAAAGCTCCAAGTACTGGTGTGGATGTAGCTATGGATTTTCATTTACTGATTTATCTATTTTGGCTTTGCATCTATTCCCAATCTGTTTGGACCCTTTAAAAACTTATAACTTTATTTGTAACATAAGATGATTTTTTCCTTTAATTCTTATCAGATGTAAATATTGAGATTGCTACCCTGAGGTTACTTTTTAAATATTTGTTGGATCTATCTTTTTCATTAACAATGAAATGACATTCACATAAGTTAACAATTTTAAAGTAAACAATTCTGTGGCATTTAGTACATTTGCAATTTTGAACAGCTGCCACCTCTATCTACTTCCAGAAACTTCTCATCACTCAGGAGGGAAATCCTGTACCTAATAAGCAGTCACTCCCCTGTTCCCTCTTTTCTAAAACTTTCTGTATTCTTATATTTTAAGTAAGTGTTTTGTATACACCATTCTGTGAGACATTTCTTTCTTATTAAATCAAATCCACAAACTCTTTCTTTTAATTAGTGACTTTAACCCAATTACGTTCTTTCATGTATGGGGAGTAACTTTTACACAAAAAGTTTAAATGCAGTCTACTTTTCATTTGCAAATATTTTCCCCCATTCAGTAGGTTGTATTTTCATTTTGCTAGTAGATTTCTTTTGCTGTGCAAAAATTTTAAGTTTAATACCTTTTTACCTACTGTGATTAAAATTTTAATTTCTCCCATTCACATATCATTTGGGGTAGATCACAGGGGAGCTGGGTTCCATTGGGCAGCCCTGGGGGGGCACTTCATGTGATCTATCAGCTGAAGCTAGAGCAGGAACTGACAGGCATGACATTTTCTCTAAACAAGCAACCAGGTGTGAACAGGATCAGAACGCTGGGATATTCTGGAGGCAGGGTAGCTGTGTGGTGAGAACTCAGACTCTGAGGTCAGGCAGAGCTAGTTCAGATCCTGGCTGTGTTCCTTACAAGATGCATATCTTTCACTGAGACTCAGCTCCATCATTTGTGCAATGGGAGTTTTAGTTGCATTTATTTCGAAGCAGTTAATGAGATGACCCAGAGGTATGTTGAGCTCAGAGACTGGTACATAGTAAATTATTACTGAATAGCAATGACATTCTTATTCATATTGCCATGGTCACCTCCAGGAGGAGGGGCATCAGGTGTATGGAAGATGGGTTTGGGGCTTGGGGAACTGGCTGAAAGGGGTAATGAGAGAGGATGAGAGGAGGAAAGGGGAACTTCCAGAAACAGAGGAAGCAGGTATTGTTACAAGAGCCACCCACAGAGCTGAATCCAGTCCAGGCGCTGGCTGCAGTGCCTTCCTCCTTCCTCTGAGGCTGGCCTGACACCCTCCTCCCTTTTACCCCATGTCAGCCACTCTCAGTGCAGCTGAGTTCATTGGAGGAGCTCCTGGCATCCTGAACAGGGGACTGTAGGGCCAGATGATAAGGTTTAGAAGAGTTGGTCTTAGGGGAAGGAGAGGAAGGGGCTGGGCATATTTCCCAGTCTTTGGGGATTATATATCTAGGCTGGAAGGAAGGGGCAGACCATGGACCTGGGTGGAGGTCCTAGGTTCAGAGCATCCTGGAGCTGGACTGGGGGCTGGGGATCATGCATTTGGTCTCTCTTTCCTCACCTCCCTTCACCTTCTAGTCTCCAAGATGCTGACATAATACAGAATGAGCTGAACAACAAAAGTGAACAAAAGGAGTCAGTGGTCACATTCTCAGGGCTCTGAGGTCACCCCGGTGGGGCCCTTAAAGCACTTCCCTTGGGTCTTCTGGTGACCCAGGGTCTGGCCTATGTGAGCACAACTTAGACTTCATTATGACCCAGGTATTCTGGGAAGTGGAAACTTGGTGTGATTCTAAAAGAGTCATCTGTGTGGGTAAGCAGTAACAGGAGCCCTCAAGGACCAACGAAGGTAGTGAGCTGGACTCCCGGGTGGATGCTGGAGGAACAGTTCAACTCTTCCTGGGACTGGGAGCTGGGCAGTCCATGAAGTCCAGCCTTCCTGCATCCCAGACAGTGTTTGCCCCCATACAAGGCGACCTCCCCCTCCCCGGCATGACTGATTCCTTTCCAGAACAGTATCAGAAGGTACTTCTGTTGCTTTGTTCTTGGTGAGATGGGTAGACCATTGGGGATGGGTGATCAGAAGGAAACAGGCCCATAGGCTGTAGTCTACAGACAGGAGTCTGGTGTAGAGAAGGAATAGTCAGGATGGATGGGTTGCTTCCTGGCCAGTAGGATTTTAGAAGGAAACTGTCTTCCCCCTCTCATCCTGGAGGATTTTTAGGGTGGGGGGAAGAACCAAAAAGGGATCCAAAGATCTGGATCATATCACTTTGCTGCCCCCAATTTTGCTGTTCATAGACTGTATACCAGATGCAGGATAAGCTGAAGCAACTGGACATCAAATGGGAGTGCTGATAGGGACAATAGCATTTCTCCCCAGCATATCAACCTTTCCTGGTTCTTGACCAGCTTTTCTTCATGAATCTATTAGTCTTAGAAGAACTGACAGATGCTGAAGGCAAATGAGACATCATCTGAGGAGAAACATTTCAACAAATAGAATATGTGTGGGCAGGCAACAGTAAGGATTCAGGGGACAGGGCTGAATAAGGGTGAATAAAGGTTGAATTTTTCTTCTCAGCACACTTAATCATACCAGTTCTTGTAGCATATTAGTTCATGATGGTCACTTTCACTAACACCTTTGTTATAGATACAAAA